GATTAATTAAATTGCAATGTCTCTTCCTATATGAACAAAATGCTACACTCAGAAAAACACATTTTGAAGGCAAAAAGTTTATGATATCTTCTAGATCAAAAGAAGTACCTAACAGCATCATTTATCATGCTTGATAATAACTCAATAGTCATTTATGTCCTAAGAGCTAATAAACATTTGAGAAAAAAATGTGTATTTCCAAAATGTAACATTTCATTTTTAAATAACCACAACTACATGCTAATAGGATACAGCTGTCCCTGGTGGAACCTGTGCAACTCCTCACACCTTGAAATCAGTTTTAACACTGCCACTCTCATTTTCTACTCCTCAAGGACTTTTCACATGCTAACTGCTTTTTATCACAGCAACCACTAGAAACCGAGCTTCATAAAGATATTATGTCATTGAAAAACGTATAATGCAATGAATGTTGACACTGTACTAATTCAAGCTGTACTTTGTACAGTGTCTAATACGTGCCAACTATCAGTATCCAACAGATACTGAACAAGACTGTGCTCTCCTTTGAAGCTTCAAATGCCTCTCCACACGTAGTGAATTTGCTAGAGTGACCTGGGATGCCTACGTGCAAAATTGGGAAACCATGGATTTCGCATCATCTGAAAATTTCAATTTTTCCTTAGGTGTTTCATAGTATGACATTAAATAGTACCAACATGTATAAATAATCATTTGTCAATGGGGTTAAGTCAAATAGCAAATTACTAAATTTAAGAAATAATTGATGGCAATAGTCAACACTATTTTTTAAATTAAGTAATTTCCTTATGATGTAAAGTATCACATTTTTTTCAGGTGAGGAAAGCTAAATGATTTTGTTGATTTTTGTTGACTTTTATGTCAGAGGCCCTTTGCACTTTTAAGACATACCTCTTATTTTATAGTCAAGGAAACTAACGGTCAGAGAGATTAAATGACATTTGCAAATCACATTGTAAGTGAACCACAGGTTTAAGACAGTGCTCCAGGTCTCCCAAGACCAACTTCTTGAATTACTGAGCAATAACATCTTGTATAGACTATAGGTCTCTGCAGCTCCTCCTGGGCTATCCTACCCAATGAAAATACCATTGAAGACATTTTAACCAAATATTGGAACTAGTTATCTGGGAGTCTTATGCTATCCTCTTACCCAGGTGTCTAAGAACCTGTTTAAGTGTCATTCACTTTAAGTCAATCATAGGAGTAAAACCTACAGCCTTGAAGAGGGAATTTCTTACTGGCACAAAATGGTTTAGGGCTGATCACCGTGTTCATCCAAGCACAGATGCTGGAAATGCTTCCCCTCCTCATTCTGTATTTTTGCCCCAGGACTTCCACTGTCTAAGAGAAGGTCTTAGACTTTGCAGTCTGCAGGCTGTGATAATCCTATCAACTGCAAGCCAAATAAATAAATAAAAATAATTATGGAATTTGAGAAACTATGGTTCTCTCTACCCCCTCCCCAAAGTGCCCCTTTAATGGGTATATTAAATAAGCAAAGGAACAACAAACATCTAAAATGAAGTAAAAAGCAAAGAGATGAGTGACAACATTTTTCTTGGGCCATCATCAATTCCTTCCCCGTCCATAAAGACATGCCCGTCTCCTATTCGGTGGCAGGATTGAATCCTGTTCTTCCTTTCTGTGTAAGCTGACCTCAGAGACTTGTTTCACTAAAATGATGCAAGACAAGAGATGTTTTGTGGATTGGTGACATCATAACAACTTTGAGATTTCTGCCTGGGTCTCTTGGAGCACTTCTTTTAGAAGGAGACTTCTTTGGAAAATCCAAAGTTCTGAACCTACTACTCTGACAGTACAATGTGTGGAGACAGAGAAATACAGGCCATATGTCAGCCTTTCTATTAACCCAACCTTGGCTCCAGACATGACGGTACCATGTCTGGAAGAGAATCCAGCAGCCCCAGGCTTTCCTGTTGATGCTACAGGGATCAGAGATGAACCACCTAGCTTAGCCTCTCCTGAATTTGTGACTCACAATAGTGCAATAAAGTAATTGGTTAAAGTCAATGAATTTTGAGATGGCTTGTTAGGCAGCAGTAAGAAAGCAGAGTTGACTATCATATGTTCCTTCAAGGCCACCTTGAAGTATCATATTGGCTGCATAAAGATCAACTAATTTGCCGTATGTGGCAAGGATAACCATGACTTTTAGATTCTTTGACTGATGACACATATGCATTCACTTTGGGATTCTACTTCAAACCAGTTTCGCCCCATTATTCCAGTTATTAATTAATTAAATACATCTTGGCCACATATACATATTTATTATATATTCTGCTTGAGAATCATGTCTTTAACTTTGGAAATTATGCTTAGACATATGGAGACAAACATTCTTCTCTAGGGAGTTCCACATAACTTCCTGTCACATTTCTCAGCAAAGTGCAGGGGAGAGGTTCGAGGACATTTCCCTGGAAAAGTGCTGAGTGCTATGGACCCCAGGGACTTGTCGGTGCCCCACGAGGCTCCTTACTGAGAGACTATGCATTGTCAGGTTTGGGGCTTGCTGTGTGGTTCCTTGGGGACCTGGAATTGCTTATGTGAGTGTATTGGGTACATCTGTCCCCAGGCCTCAAACCATGGTGGAGCCTCTCTGGAGTTGTTTGCCAACATCCCAACCCAGAAATCAAGGGTCCAAGACCATTTTGATTGAGCTCATGTTTCCTTTCCTGCAGGAACTCTTCTTTCTTTTCTTTTCTTCTCCACCCCAGCACCCACTGTACTTCTGAAGGCCATGTCTCATTTTTCCTGGATCACTACAGTGAAGTATTACAATTGTGCAGTTCCCAATCTGGCCTTGGCTTGCTTGGATAAAATTTTGTATGGCATAGATTCTATATTGTAATGATGTTCTATGCAAAAAGAAAAAAAATGAAATTGTAAAATTTATTGTTTTAATGTATATGCATGTTTAGTGATAGTTCCATCTTGAAATAAAATTTATAATTCGTTTTTAAAATAAAAAGTCCACAAAAGGTATATTTAAAAAAACTTTGCATAGATTTTAATATGTTTGGCACCAAAATAAGCTTATTTAATTCAAAAGTTCCATGTACATTTTGAAATATTCTCATATATTTTATCACAATATGGTCTCCCAGTACTGGGCAAAGCCAAGAAGGGCATCTGTCTAGGTTTACATTGCATTATTTTCCCCACAAAGCATTTCCCTGGTTCTCCCTACATATAAGACTCGCATAAAAACCAACAAAACAGAACCACCGTTCCTCCTTGAAGTCCCAAATCTGCTTTGTCATAATCCATCTGGACTCTGGTATCTATTTATATGCTTTATTATTAAAAGTCTATGTAGGCCAGTGCCACGGCTCAATAGGCTAATCCACCACCTGCGGCGCCAGCACACCGGGTTCTAGTCCCTGTCGGGGCGCAGGATTCTGTCCCTGTTGCTCCTCTTCCTGTCCAGCTCTCTGCTGTGGCCCGGGAGTGCAGTGGAGGATGGCCCAAGTGCTTGGGCCCTGCACCTGCATGGGAGACCAGGAGGAAGCACCTGGCTCCTGGTTTCAAATCAGCATGGTGCGCAGGCCGCAGCGCACTGGCTACAGCGGCCATTGGGGGGTGAACCAATGGCAAAGGAAGACCTTTCTCTCTGTCTCTCTCTCTCACTGTCTACTCTGCCTGTCCAAAAAAAAAAAAAAATAAGTCTATATAAACTTAATAGCCTAGAAAAAAAATCAGTGAGAGGTCTGTGTGTCACAGACCTGTGCACATTGTCTAACCAATTACACAACAAATATTTGTTTGGAATAATTGTGGTTAATAAAAAGTTTACATTGCTTTCAAATACTTTTTCGTACAAGAAGAGACTAATGACTCATTAATTACATCCAATTTGCATAATTCATTTAATGTTTTGAATTTTTTGTTTTGAATTGCCATTTCACCATCTCCAAATTGATATGTGAAAATTCTACAAAAAATTTTAGTTCCCTGTCTCCTAGGAGATATCAATAGTAATTTAAAATGAGAGAGTTTTGATTTCATTTGGACTCTTGAAAAAATTAAAAATTAAATTTGTTTTGAGTGTATGATTCAAAAATATATATCAAATTATGTCTCTATATGCTACAAGGATAAACACTAATTAAATAAAATTGAAATTTCTAAAAGGGTACATGTTTCCTCTTTAACCATGGATTTTCTGTGCATGTTTCAGATAATCAAATGAAAATTTGCATTGATTAAATTCTGAATTGCACATAAAAATGTCCCTTCCTTTATTCTTCATTAAAATTTGAACCATGAATCATTTGCATTTAAATACTCTTTTAGATTTGGTTCCTTACCAGTCTCAATATCCATTTGGATGATCACTGAAAGATAAAAATCTCAGCAAAACGTGCATATGTTGCTTAGAATTCTAATTACTTTGAATCCACGATTAAAAATCCAAAACAAAAATGAAAACCCCAAATCTGTAGAAATAAAAATCATGGCAGAAGATATTTATGCTCAGGGTAGGATTTAGCATACATTTTACTTTGAATGACAGCTGTTTTTCTTGAATAAGACACCTGCCTTCTGTACAGAAAAATTTTAAGAAAATCTAGACTAGCTTTGTAAAATTCATGACTTGGTCACCATTGCTTATACATTCTCACTGTACTGGTCCATTCACTACTAATGAACCAAATTTAGGTCAGAAAACAAACCCAAAGTAGTGCCTTTTTCTTAAGAACGAAGTTGTTAGGTAGGATTTTTTTTCAAAATTGCTTTTGTTAAGAAAAAGTCTATTTTAAAATACTCTATTCATGTAAACTGGCTTCTGTTTTATATTTCTGCTCTACGTGGTCTCAATCTTAGCTGTTCAAGTGTTAACTCCCATGGCTTCTGCTTTTCCATGAAAGAGAAAATGAGCACAGATCCAGTCAGAAATGTGTCTAGAGGAGCAGGCATTTAGCTTAGCCGTTAAAATATGGCTAAGAGGCTGGTGTCCCATATCAGAGTACCTGGGTCTAGCTGGGCTCCGATTCCTAAAGGCGGCTCCACGCTAATGCAGATCCTGAGAGGCAGCAGTGACAGCTCAAGGCATTCAGTTCTTGCTCCCCACGTGGACGATCTGGATGGAGTTTCAGGCTCTGGGCTTCAGCACCCACGCTGTCTTGGGAATTTGGAGAGTGAGTCAGCAGAAGAGTGCTCTATCTCTGTGTAATAGAAAATTGTTAAAAATGTGTCTACAACATATTGAGAATTTACATCAAAACCCAGTGGCATTAGGATATCTAGGTTCTCCAATAATTACTACAAGGGAATATTATTAAATTTTTTTAAAGAATTTAATAAGCTGGCCAGCGCCGCGGCTCAATAGGCTAATCCTCCGCCTGCAGCGCCGGCACACTGGGGTCTAGTCCCGGTTGGGGCGCCGGATTCTGTCCTGGTTGCTCCTCTTCCAGTCCAGCTCTCTGCTGTGGCCAGGGAGTGCAGTGGAGGATGGCCCAAGTCCTTGGGCCCTGCACCTGCATGGGAGACCAGGAGGAAGCACCTGACTCCTGCCTTCAGATCAGCGCGATGTGCCGGCCACAGCAGCCATTGGGGGGTGAACCAACAAAAAAGGAAGACTTTTCTCTCTTTCTCTCTCTCTCACTGTCCACTCTGCCTATCAAAAAAAATGAATTTAATAAGCTTAGGATAATATTCATTAAATTTATTGAACATTTAAATAAAGCAAGGATAAAATACACTAAACACCATCACTAAATGTTCCGCTAGCTCGATTAGACTATTTCCTAACTAAGGACTTGTTTGGGGACTTTGTTTAGCCTAAGAATTTATTACACATCCCTTTTTTAGGTTCTTTCAACTTTCCTCACGCTACTGGAGTTCTTGCGCTTGCTGCCTGTCTGAGATTTCTTCTTTCTGCTGGACCAAATGTCAGCACTTCAGTCATACCTGCCTAGAGCTACCAGCATTGTATCCTGCATACTTTGTGTGGACTCAGTGGTATTCCAAACTCCACAAGACCAGAAGTATTTACCATTTCCTGGAAGGAGCTTCTCGGCTTTCCTTTTCCTCCACTTAACCTTTGTGGTTAAGCTGGTTGCAGTGTGAACTTGGCTTAAGGACAAATTTTAAAGAGCCCGGTTCTCATTCCTGTTGCAGTTTGTATGAAAGAAATAATTTAACCACTGTATTGTAAATACATACAAGATTGCTTATCACAGTTCTGTCTTTGACAACAATAACTAATCGGAATATAATCATACATTTTAGGGCTAGACAACCATTAAAGGAATGATAGAGAAATGTAAAGATGTTGGCTCTATGTTGTTAAGTGTGAAACGCTGGAGGAAGGCATTTGGTGTACTGGTGATAACACTGCTCCCATCTTACTGAAGTGCCAGGGTTCCAGTCACTGCTGTGCTTGCAGTTCCAGCTTCCTGCTAATGTGTACCCTGGAAAATAGCAGATGACGGCTCAGGTATTTGCGCCCCATCTCCCACGTGGGAGATCCAGACCAAGATGTAGGCTTCTGGCTTTGACCTGGCCTAGTCCCAGCTATTGTGGGCACTGGAAGAGTGAATCACAGGATGGAAGACTCTCTCTCTTCCCTCTCTCTCTCTCCCACCTCTGCCGTTTAAATAAAAACAAATATTCTTTAAAATGTATTTAATTTTAAAGAAAAATGACCCCAAAGCAAGGGTAGTGATGCTGGCAATTTGAATATGACAAAGAGAAGCTGTAAAGTCCTTCTGTAAAACTCTCACACACCACCAGAAGAGTGAGTGCAGTACCATATGATATTTTGAGACATACACACAGAATACAATTTACATTGTTATAATTGTTTTATTTTTATTATTGCTGTTAATCTCTTACTCTGCCCAATTTATAACTTAAACTGTGTCACAGATGTGTGTGAATAGGAAATAACCTAGCAGATACAGGATTTGGTACTAACCAAGCTTCCAACCATCTACTGGTGGTCTTTAGCAGATAAGGAGGGACTACTATATCTATCTATCATCTGTCTATCTATCACTTCCTTATTTATCTGATCCATTCACTTAGGGTTTTTACTTTTTAAAAGCTAATTTATTTTACTTAAAATTATTACAATATTTAAGAATATTGAATTTAAATATTTAAAAATTTCTCTTAAAAATCATATCTGACAATCCTAGATCTATATTTTTGAAGCGTAGCTCGGTGATTCTGAGGAAATGGGCTCCCCATTCAAGTAAGGCACATGCTTTTGTGAGCTTATTGCTGCCACTAATCTCTCCTATCCACTACAATCAAGTTGCTGTTACATCCGTATTACAGGCCAATCTCATCTGAGATTGAGTCTGCTCTCTGAAGAGTAGTCAGCATGTATTTTGGTTAGGTAGAGTTGCCTTGAAAATTAAATGCTTGACACAAGAGGTTCAGCTATAAATAATCCTGTCTTATTTCAACTTAGATTGTTCCATATGTCACCACCAGATTCCCACACTTCTGTCAATATTGTAGTAGGATTTAACGACATCCATTGGAGTGGTTCTTTGTGACTGTAGCACACAATGTATGTAGCTTAAAGGATAGTCATAAGACTTCAGTGCACAAAAGTGTCATGAGCTCATTGTCAAACTACCCTTAATAATGTGACACATAGTAAAGTGACTTTAATTTCAGGGGATCAGTTTCTCATCCATCCAATTCTATACTGCATTAAAGCATTACTTAAGGAGGACATTTACTCTTATTGGATTGTCAACCAGATGTCTGTGGGCCTTTGTAGTTCTTCTAAGACACACAAATGTCAATAAGGGAGTGAGACAAATCTCCATATGGGCCTGCTAAGATACTTTCAAAAAACAATTCTAAAGAAAGCAAAAAATGTTTTGTGCATGCAGTGCCAGTGAACTCGTTGATCTTCCAAAGCAATTGCTCTAAAGCAAAATAGTCATCTGCTTTCCTGAATTTTTATTTTCTTGTTTTGTGGTTGTTTTTTCCAAACCACTCCTACTCTTAGAAAGTTAGTTTATGGGTACATACTGCATTCATTACTCTTTGCTGAGGCAAACATATTAAGGAGCATGGAACATGTTGCATAGAACACATGTGTGAGCAAGGAATATTCCCTAAGGTCAGAGATAGCCACAGAAATATCTTTAAGTGGAACTGTGGAGAACTCCTTGGATGTTTCCAGCTTTGTTTGCTTTGTGCCTTCCCCACTGAAAAGCCGGAGCTGCTTTGTTGCATAAATGAATCCCATGCTCCTGTAAGCGTACTTGTACATTAACTGGAGATTAATTACAGATCACTCTGTTTAAATAATCCTGTCTTATCTCAGTTTAGTCTTACAAATGCAAGGAAAGCCTTGCTGGGACTGAAAACTCAATCCTCTTGAAGGGACCCTTTCATTAATATTTTGGAGAATATTCATTATCTTTTATAACAACTGACCTATCTCTGGTCTTTTTTAAAAAAATATTTATTTATTTATTTGAAAGGCAGAGTTACAGAAGCAGATGCAAAGAGACAGAGAGAGAGAGAGAGAGAGAGAGAGAGAGAGGTCTTCCATCTGCTGATTCACTCCCTAAATGGCTGCAATGGCTGGAGTTGTGCCAATCCGAAGCCAGGAGCCAGAAGCTTCTTCCGGGTCTCCCACGCGGGTTCAGGGGCCCAAGGATTTGGGCCATCTTCTACTGCTTTCCCAGGACACAACAGAGAGCTGGATTAGAAATGGAGCAGCCAGGACTCTAAGTGGCACCCATATGCGATGCCAGCACTGCAGGCGACACTTTTACCTTTTATGCCACAGCGCCAGCCCCTATCTCTGATCGTTGAGTAGAAAAATAGAATATATAATTAATATTAAAAAAATCTTATTTTTCTGTATCTCATAAAACTCCCAAGAGAACCGCCTGACCATCCTCATTTAAAACAGGAGGACGGCATTGTGGCTTAAGCCACAGCCTGCACAACGGCAACCCACATGGGCACCAGCTGGAGTCCCAGCAGCTCCACTTCTGATCCAGCTCCATACCAATGAGCCTGGGAGAGCAGCTGATCATGGTCCAGACTTGGGCCACTGCACCCGTGGGAGACCAGGATGAAGCTCCTTGCTCCTGGCTTCCACCTGGCCCAACCCTGTTTGGAGCCATCTGTGACTGGTCTTTTGGGGACTGAACTAGTGGATGGAAGATCTTTTCTCTGTCCTTCTTCTCTCTCTGTAACTCTGCCTTCCAAATAAATAAATAAATAAATCTCTAGTGAAATAAGCCAGTCCTCTAAGGACAGATATTATGTTTCCCCTGACCCAAGGTATCTAATAGAGTACCAGAAATGTAATGTATTGGAATGTTGAGATTCCATGATTATTTAGAGTCCTTGTCTCTTGTGTTGAGGAATAGTGTTTTTGTTTTTCTCTTCATACTATTTGTTAAACTATTACTGTACAGTTAACTATATGATCATTAAGTAAACTGAAAATAGAACTTTGTAGAAATCAAGAGTAGGAATGTGAGAGGGAGGAGGAGGAAGGGTTGGAGTGTGGGCAGGATGGAGGGTTGGGGGGAAGTGTCACTATGTTCCTAAAACTGTATACATGAAATTTGTATAACTTAAATAAAATTAAAAAAAAAAGAAATGAAGAAAACGGATGCATAGAGGGGAAGTAATGGGCCAATGCCCCAGCACAGGATGGTTAAAGAAAGACTTCAGCTGCCGGTCTCTTGGGTTTTAGATTCCTAACTTGGAAGGCTCCAGAGCTTATAGGTCGCTCAGATAAGCAGTAAAAAAAAAGTAAAAGAGAGAGATCGGCTGTACACTTCTAGGAAAAATAACTTTTGAGTTAGGAATTTCTGGAAGGAATGGCCCTGCAGCTGTGGATTGACCCCATTACCCTTCCGCGCCTAGCCACTAACAGGAGAGCTGCAGGGTCCCGCTTGAGCAGCGGGCTTGGCCACAAAGGCATCAGCTCGAGGAACCAGGGCACCTGCTTCTTCCTGGCCACACCAGTGACTTGGATCACCACCAAAGAGCTGCGATCCGGAAGTCAGCGAGATGGAGAAGGCAAAGGAGATGGTGTTTCATTTTTGAACTATGGCTGTCCGCCTCCTCTCCCTGTCCCAGCTTCTGCCCAGCGCCAGGGCGCACAGCACAGGCGGTCAGCTTTCCAACCTCAGTCCGCACCACCCAACTTAGAAACGGTGCGCGGACACCTGTTAGGAGAAACACTGATCGCGGGCAAGAAGCCGGATCTGAACTCGCTTTGCCTGTAGAAAACAGTGCCAAGGAGCGCCGGCGCTGGGCGAGGGTGCGGAGGAATGGGCCCCTGCGCCGTTTTTCCGTGGCTCCGCGTGCATCCAGCTTCCCACTTAGGCAGAAAAGGGCAGCCACTTCGGACTGGGAGTTGTGGGGCGAGGCGCGGAGATTCAGCCTCCCGCCGGCCTGAGCCCCGGATCGTCTCCGTTCCAGCGACCGCAGCTCCCTCGCCCCCAGCCTGGTCTTCCCGCCACGCCTTCACATTCGCCTTTCCCCCCGCGGATTTGGGGAACACGGAATCCTCGCTTGGAGCATCTCGAAACTGAGAGGCTGAGAGCAAAGGGAAGAGAAGGAGGTAGGCGTGGTGCAAACGCTAGTGCCACCCAACTTGGGGGCCACCAGGCGGAGCGGCGAGAGTGGCGGCTGCAAGTAGCGGTGGGCACCTTCCTGGGGGCGCCGAGCTGCCTTCCAAGCCAAAGCGGGCAGCGGAGACGGTGAGCGCTGTCCCCCGCTCCCTGGCCACGGGAAACTTCCCGTGCAGCCCACTCCCCTGAGGGCCCGATCCGCGCAGCTTCCGCGCCGTCTCCTGTGCTCCGAGGGAGGGGTTTGCCGCCCCTACCCCCGACCCTCCCACTTCGCTCGCGCAGCTCCGAGGCTCGGAGCGGCGCAGTGCGGTGCCAGCGCGCTCGGCCGCAGAGGTCGGTGGCAGAGCCCAGCAACGCCAGCCTTCCGGCGGCCGCTCGCGCTGCTGGCTGCCAGCTGCCGGGGACCCTCAACGCAGACAGGAGCGCGCTTGCCTTTGGAGACCTTGGAGAGTCCCCTCTGCGTCTGCCGTCTGGGTAATCGTCGGACCCACGGATTGCACGCTTCTTGCTTCCACGTCTCTGCAGAAAGGCCAGGGCCGGCTGAGTAAGTCCAAGTCCTAATTCTGATTCACCTGCTCGGAATGTCCCAAACGGAGCGCTCTTGAGTCCTAGGAGGAGCGCATGGGGGAGGGCTTCATGAGTGCACGGACTTTTTCCGCAGGTTTACCTGGAAGGAAGGGGTTTGGGGATACTGCCATCCCCAGTGTCCACTTTTGTAAGGATTTACCTTTCCTACTGAACAGTGGCTCTTGTTCCTTGTCCCGGGCTGCCCGCTGGTGAGAACACAGGGTGGACGAGGAGGAGCTGGCACTAAAAGCTCTGACTTTTTGTAACAGGGACTCATCATTTTAAACCCAATACAAGATAGCCAGCGCTGTTTTCGAAGGAAGGCCAGAAGCTAAAATACACAGAAGAGAGGCATTCCCAGCCACTATGCCGAATATTTTCAGCTTTCTACTTATTAGGCAAATATCCTATCTTGTTTGTAGCATTCCTAAAAGTTTCATCCTCCTAACCCCAAACCCCACCCCAGGACTAAAAAATGAATGCACAGGTAGAATGGTTGGCACCTTTTCTGGGATTTTTGCTTGGGAAAAAAAATCCCTGGAAGAAATTTCTCCATAAGGTGTCCAGCTCTATTTGGCCAACGTGTGACAATACTGTTGCAGAAAAAAAAAAAAAAATGTGGTTAAAGCATCAACTGCTCTCTGCCTCAGGTTATTTGAGCTTTTTCAGAATCTCTGAACAAACCCCTGAAATTCATTTCCTATTCCACAAAGAAGCATTTCTATAGCAAAGTCTCTAGAGATTCACCTGCTCAAGAAAACTATACCACTCGTAGTTCTCCTTAAATGTCATGAATAATGTGAGTGTCACATTTAACTTTATTTCAGGGAAGGTTTTTTTCCCTTGTCTCCTTGGTTGTTTAATTTTTGTGCTTTTGAGTATTTAATTGGCAGCTTCCTCTGTGTACTCTCTTCTTTCAGTTTTTCAGAAGTGCTGTCATTAAATGATGCATTCTTTGCTCTGAGTAATGCATTGACATCGCTGAAGGCCACAAGTATGCTTAAAAACTAATAGTGCCCATATGCTAATAGCTTGTAAATCGATAATTCCTGCAGAGAAGTTTCCAATGAAAAGCTCTGAAATAAAGAAATAAGACTGAAGAGAAAGAGCAAAATAAATCAATAAATCAAATATACTCCTCCTCTTAATATCCTCCAGTCTCATGCTTCCTCTCAACTGAGTCGGCTACAATCCTCAAACTGCGACCTTTGGAGTCTTGTTAATTCTGTTAATGACATGTCAGATTGACTAACTGTGCTTTGTAAAGGCAGTCTCTTCCTTAGTCTAAGGAAAATGGTATGGCATGGCAAATAAATATACACTCCAAGATTTGAATGCTTCTTTTCAGTTTTCTCTAGTTCCTAAAGAATGGAGGAAATGGGAAAGAGGACCCAGACTCCTGGGAACATTCTGTTTGAAGTCCATGCTGGGAGAACTAGACTGTACCAGTAAAGCAGACATGGGAGCACATGTGTACTCCCATGTTCCTATGTGCAGCTGGGGTCCTGGGGTGGGGGTGGAGGACAGGTGTGGAGAAATAAAAAGGAACAGAGAGGAAAATATAATTTATAATAATAATAATAACTCTTGAGGTAGAAAGATTTATGATGGGCAATTTAAAATATTATACTTGGGAATCGACTCAAGAGGGTTTTAAGAGCAATTACAGGATTAGGAACAAGAAGACAGGTATCAGGAGGTCATGTCACAGTGGTTACCTTCAGGGAAGGACAGGACTACAGGTATACTCCGTATCAAATAGCTGGCTTTGATTCTTCAATGAGATTGTGCCTTCCTCTGGAGTCACATTTGGTTTGTCACATCATTCAGTACTTTGTGTGCAGTAGATAGAGTGCTAGGGATTAACAATTGGTGAAGGCCATCCAGTTCTGTCCTCAAAGAAACTGCTGAGGTGAGGTGGACAGGGAAACACAATTGCAGTGTGGTGTGTGGTACCTCCAGCCCTAGAAGTGAGCACAGCTTTTGGAGGTAAGTGAGAGACTTCCCTGTTCAGAACAAGGAGGGCTGGGGGGCATGAGAAAGGCTGAGGTGTCACTGAAATTGGGAATAAATCAGAATGACAGACAGAGAGATGAGGACAGAGAGATAGGCAGGGATGATTTCAAGAAAAATCTTGAAGGGCACACTAAGGAGTTGGGATTTTCTTAGGCTAGTTATCAACTTGTAGGTACAGACCTTTTAATGAAAGAGCAAATTAATGTCAGCATGCTTTCTGCACAGAATGCAAAATAGAATCTATTCAAGAATGTAAAAGAGGAGAGACTGGAGACTGAGAACTGGTTGAACAAGTGGCTGAAGCTAAATGTTGGGCCTGCTCAGTCATTAGCAAGAGCAAGGAGTTATCACTAACTATCACCAGTTATCACCAGCTATCACCAGTTATCACCAGTTTACACCAGCTTATCACCAGTTATCACCAGCTGGAGGGACATGCAGAGGAGGACCCAGGGATGAGGGCCTCCCACTGACCAAAACCAGGCAGAATCTCAATGACTTGGAAGTGTGAACACTGTCATCTGCAAGAGTCGGCCATCATGTGGTACAGACAGAACAGGGCAGGGCAGGGTGAAGAACGGAGTTGGGGCCAGGCAGGCATAGCCAGGCATCCTCTGTGGACTGGATCGATATGACTCACCTACCCATGGAGCTAGAGGCAATTATGATTAACAAACCTCAGCTTATTAAAAACTCATTCAAAAGAGGTTCTGAATTAATAGCCTTTTATGATTATGAGTATATTTGAGAGGTACTGCCACTAGGATGTTGGCCTTTGAAGGTTTTTCTATAGACTTCAAAAAAAGACCTTTACACTAGAAATCAATGTATGGTTTTATGCAATATCAAGACATTGGGAAAATAATATGACTGCCTTGGAATTCAAAAGAGGTTCTGAATTAATAGCCTTTTATGATTATGAGTATATTTGAGAGGTACTGCCACTAGGATGTTGGCCTTTGAAGGTTTTTCTATAGACTTCAAAAAAAGACCTTTACACTCAAAATCAATGTATGGTTTTATGCAATATCGAGACATTGGGAAAAATAATATGACTGCCTTGGAATTTCAGACAGATCCTTTTCATGCCAGAGTAATCTTTGTCCAGGCAAGAGGCAAGTGCCTTTGAGTACAGGTACTGTCCTGTTGTTTTCTATCCAGAGCAAATCCTAGCTCAAGATGGTTTTTTTAAAGTTTGCTTAATGCAAATTTCAAGAAGCATCAGCAGCTTGATGGGAAACCTGTTTATCTGTGAGTGAATGAATGAATAAGCGAAGGAAAGTGAAAGGCAACAGGAGAGAAGTGGGAAAACTAGTGGAGTAATTATGGGAAGAAACTGAAAAGAAGGAAACCAGTGTGGTGGAAATGATAAGATAAGGAGGAGAGGTCGTGGAGAGTCTGAGAGGTCTCTTGTGTGGGGGGGCTGAAGGAGAGGGGACAGCCTGTTTTCTTTAAATTTTAGGAGATTTAACCACTGGGGACAACACTGGTTGAAGACAGGCACAGAGAAGGGAAAAAAACACCTGGAACAAATGATGAAGAAAATGCCAATACTTGTATATTTACAGCTAAGAGGGAGATGGGGTTCAGATTCAGGATTGCTTTGCCTATAACTTATGTAGAGTTCTGCTGTGTTAGGTAGAAAGTAAAAAAATCAGCAATTCCACACTGGCTGCAGATTTTCATTCCCAGCACATATCCTATAAAAAAAAAAAAGCTATAAAACACAATCTGCTGAGTTTATCTTGCATATTTTATGGTCCCAAAGTCCAGGCACCAGGCTCAGGGTTTTAATATTTGGCCCTTTCTTATACAGTTTGTACTGTGTATCCATTTAAAGTACTCAAGATATTGAAAGAAATTTTCCTGTCTTTATTTTAAATTAATGTATATGTGCTTGTGCTGTAGCATAATCCACTGCCTGCAGCGTCTGCATCCCATATGGGCGCCGCTTCAAGTCCTGATTGCTCCAATCCAGCTCCCTGATAATGCACCTGGGAAAGCAGTGGAGGATGGCCCCAGTCCTTTGGTCCCCAGATGTAGTTCTAGCCTCCCTGCTTGGGCCTGGCCCTTGCGGTTACTTGGGGAATGAACCAGCAGGTGGAGGTTCCCTCTCCCTCTCTCTTTCCCACTTCTTCCATCATTCTGCCTTTCAAATAAAACAAATCTTTTTAAAAAAAGTTAAAACTTCTGAATCCATTTAGCAACATTCACTGAAATTGTATCTTTACTGTAGTTGGGATTATGCTTTCCTGTTATAGTAACATTTCAGAAATCTGTTTAGGTTGATTTTATATTTGTGAATAGACTTATTAAGGACGTTATACTAAAATGTTATGTTCTGTGAAATCTTCACCGATCCATGTGTTATACTCCTTTGCCTCATCCTTGTGCTTTCCTGGTTCCATATATGTCTATATTTGTAATTTCAGGTACTTGTCCTTCTTGGAGGCTGAGAGAAACTGTGCTGAAAATGGGCCCAATAAATGCAGAGGCTGATGAGAACCAGACAGTGGAAGAAATGAAGATGGAGCCGTATGGACCAGGGCAACCCACTCCTCGAGGTGAGCTGGCTCCTGACCCTGAGCCAGAGCTCATAGACAGCACCAAGCTCATTGAGGTTCAGGTTGTCCTCATTCTGGCCTATTGCTCCATCATCTTGCTAGGGGTCATTGGCAACTCTTTAGTGATCCATGTGGTGATTAAATTCAAGAGCATGCGCACAGTAACCAATTTTTTCATTGCTAATCTGGCAGTGGCAGATCTCCTGGTGAACACCCTGTGTCTTCCATTCACTCTCACCTATACATTAATGGGGGAGTGGAAAATGGGTCCCGTCCTATGCCACCTGGTGCCCTATGCCCAGGGACTGGCAGTACAAGTGTCCACCATCACCTTGACAGTCATTGCCTTGGACCGTCACCGATGCATCGTTTACCACCTGGAGAGCAAGATATCCAAGCGCATCAGTTTCCTGATTATCGGCCTGGCCTGGGGCATCAGTGCCCTGCTGGCGAGTCCACTGGCTATCTTTCGAGAGTACTCACTGATTGAGATTATTCCAGACTTTGAGATTGTGGCCTGTACTGAGAAGTGGCCGGGGGAGGAGAAGAGCATCTACAGCACTATCTACAGTCTTTCCTCCTTGTTGATCCTGTATGTTTTGCCGCTGGGCATTATATCTTTTTCCTACACTCGCATCTGGAGCAAACTGAAGAATCATATCAGCCCTGGAACTGCTAGTGACCACTACCATCAGCGAAGGCAGAAAACGACCAAAATGTTGGTGTGTGTGGTGGTGGTGTTTGCGGTCAGCTGGCTGCCTCTCCACGCCTTCCAACTTGCTGTGGACATTGACAGCCAGGTCCTGGACCTGAAGGAGTACAAACTCATCTTCACAGTGTTCCACATCATTGCCATGTGCTCCACCTTCGCCAACCCTCTTCTCTACGGCTGGATGAACAGCAACTACAGAAAGGCGTTCCTCTCTGCCTTCCGCTGTGAGCAGAGGATGGATGCCATCCACTCAGAGGTGTCTGTGACATTCAAGGCTAAAAAGAACCTGGAAGTCAAAAAGAACAATGGCCCCCATGACTCTTTCACAGAGGCTACCAACGTCTAAGGAACCTGGGGTGAAAATATGCAGATGGTTCTGACCAACGCTATATGCATGGTTGATGAAGTCTCGCAGGTGCATCCTGATTTCCCATTTTAAGGAAGAAAAAAGTATATATGAATAGAAACATCTGCAGTGTAATTCCTGGAGAACAGTGGGCAGAGTGTAGGTGGAAAGACTTTGTATTCACAGATAGGGCAACAGAGTGGTTTAACCACAATTGCTGGAATGCTCGGTTGAATTATGAGTAAAAGCACAGAGAAATACATGTGACTATTTCTCACATTGAAGGAAACTGGAACAAGCAATTGACATTATCAGCATTGTCTAAAGGTGTTGTTAAAGTGGTTGACTCTCGAATCACACTGGGACCTGGGTTTGGGATGCTGGGTAATCAAGGCTGTCCCTCCTCTAATGAAAATGCTGCTGAATGGAAGTTTGTGTAGGAAACCACGGGATCACCTTGAGTGTATTTTGGTTTTATTGTTCCTTCTATAGAGAGAGTTAATCAGCGAATGCTGTACGCAAACATTTCAGGCAAACTGTTTGAATGCCTTCCAGGAAATAAACTGGAAATTTGCTGTACTCGTATAAATTAATATATTGGCTAGTGATGGGAGAAATCCTGAATTTTCAGTGAGCCACTTGTTCTTAAAGCCAAATGCATGTTTGGTGAGAATGTTCAACTCAGAGTGAAAGAATAAAATCCTCAGAATTATAAGAAATGTAAACAATCATTTAATTTCTCATCTCAAGTTATTTCTCCTTTATATAGATACATTTAGATAACAAATATACATACAACTTGTTACTTTTAATCAGTGCCAATTGTCATAACTTTTAAAAATGTATTATTTCTAACATTTTTCCTATGTTGGAGCTAAGTTTGTGTGCACTATAAACTAAATCAGACTATAAAAATAGTTTTTGTGGGATTTTATAACATTTCACGGTTATTCGTAAGCAAGTTTTGCACAGGTTCATAGTTCTTAAGTGTCAACAGAATACTGCATTTTTCATGGACCCAATCTTGATAACTTGAACAATTTAATTTCATTAAAATGGACCCATCTGGTAAGAAATACTAGAAACATTGTATTCATTCCAACTTGCAATATCCCATTTCAAACAATTCCACAAAAGTTATTTATGCTGTTTTCAAAATAATTAGCTATATTTTTCACTAACATGAATATATACATATAAAATTGAGCCCATAAATAGTGGAACAAAGATGATATACTATTTTGCATTGAGTGATTTTTGAATATAAATTTCCTTTCCATCGTATCCAGCCAAAGATGTTTAAAACCACATTATACTCATTAAAATAATTCAGATATTAAAATAGATGTATTTCTTTCGATGTAATTAAGGAGGTTTCACTGTAGTCATATTTTTGTAAAATAACAGAATTTATTAATATCCTTAAATTTTAAATAAATTTAACAGGAGTGTTATATTTAGCTACAACATTAATTTTATGAACTGAAGAACTTCATTTTATGGATATAGTTTAAATTCCTATCATGGATCCATCACATTCCTTCCCATGGTAAAAATAAAAGACTAGTCTCGAAGTGAACTGTGGTCTTGAAATACTGAAAACAATAGATTAGGTGGGAGACAAATTAAGAAGGAAACAAGAAACCATGAATGGCTGTTATATGTCATGGAATCGAATACTTTATTTTTTCTGTCGGACTCAGTGTAACTATCTAAGAAGAAGCTTTTTTCTCTTTTAAATGGCAGTCACTTTGCTTAGATTCAAATCGTGGTTAAAATTGCTCCCCCTGCTCCACCACTCAAGAAATGTTGCACTATAAAGAATGTATATGCTACCGTATCACTTGTTGTGGCATTAAATTATTAGAATTATTGATTCAATTAACATATATCATAATTAAATATGTCCATTCATTAATAAAGTATCTTATTATGTAGTGATTTCATTGTTGAAATAAAAAGGGGACATTAGAGAAATTGCGTGGAATCGTCTATCTGAGTTCTTTTCTGAGACTTCAGTTTTTGATGTAACTGAAAAAGGAAAATGAAAGTGGCTGCTCCAAAGTTAGTAGAGTTCTCTTTCTATTCTGTACCTGAACCTGTCAGGGGATCCACTCCTATAACTGCAATCATAATCCTGATTCTGAGTGCTCCAGAGTCATTATTTCTAAACCACACCTTTCAAACTGTATCTCTGTCAGCTAAAATCACACATCTTCATAGGTGTCTCACTAGGAGGTCGAATCCAACACATCTGAAACAGAACCCACTGTTCTGATGCACAGCTCACCTGCCCCACCTCCCATTTATCTTCCTGTATTTCCTGTCCCAATGGATGACACTACTACAACCCAGTTCCCAACAACCTTACGCTTCAGAGCCACTCTCGAATTTTCCATCTCTTAATTCCACATATTGGATGAATTCTCACATCTGGTTGTCTTTTCAGTCCCCTTGTATTGCTCATCTGGATTAATTAGTTTAGTAGCTTCCTAACTAATCTTTCCATAGCTCATCGTTTCCCCATCCAATACAATATTTACCTGCTAACCAGAGTGATTTTTAAACATCTCGTCAATGTCTCCCCCTAATTCTTATGATAAACTCAAAATCGTTTTATTGCTGGAAGACTGTTTAGCACCAGGCTCTACCCATGTGCTTTTCTCAAACAAAATCTCTTTTACTTCAGTTTTGCTCTTGGAGTTTAAGCATCATAAGGGCAGGGGACAGGGACTGTTTTCACCAATGTGGTATCATATGTACTTGCAAGTCTTGGCACCAAGCTAATTCTCAATAAATATTCTTCAAGGAGATTGAGTTTTTGAGGCAAAGTAAATATTAAAGCCAAAATTTGAAGATAGATATGCAAGGTTGAAAATCTTATACTTCTCCCATTTTATCATAACGTCTGGGAAAGTAAGGTTTTAGCTATAAGGGAGTTCAGAATAGATATTGGTTCAGGATAATATTGGTTTTGCATTTTGATGGTCATTAGTGGTAGGTACTTGCATGTGTAGAAAAGACTTTATGCATAGACTTTATTCATGGCTCACTCGAAATTATCTGGAATTTTGTCACCAGGTAAGAATGAAGGCATTAGTGAAGTGTACCAATCACATTTCAGATAACTAGAGGAGCCATTGCAGATATTTCTATTAGAAAGTGATTTAATACAGGGAATTAAAATTCTATGAAACCAGAGAAGCTGGTTTGGAGGAATATTAACAACAGGATGTAGATGGAGAAATGAAAATTATCAAGAGTCTCTACTAGCATTGAGGAAACCAGGACATGCAAAATCAGAGGAAACTATGACTAATGACTGTATAACTTTAACGTGATTGAACACACAAAGACGCATGGATTTATCAGTTAAAATTATTTTGCCTGCTGCTAAGCCTACAAACCTGCCCACCTCTACTCAATAATGACTTTTCTTTTGCTTTCCAAAATTCATGTAAGTGTCTTCTGTCTGTGAAATATAACTCAAACTCTGCCATCAAGGAGTTGAAGAAAACTTAGTTCCTGTGTTTCTAGCCATAGGATGCATGGAGGGACATGGAGGGAAGAACGTGGTGCTTGGTGCTGTCACACTGTCACAAGTGGGAGGATTGCCCAAGCGGTGTTATCTAGGGCTCCAACCTCATCCTCTCCCCAGCGGCTCTTGAGCTTCTTCAAAGTGGCCATGATGTAAGTTGATTATATGATCTTTCCTTTTTCTCTTTTGTTTTTTAAGCTTTATTTTAGTTATTTGAAAGATAGAGAAAGAGAGAAGGAGAGACAAAGATAGATCTTCCATCCACTAGTTCACTTCTCAAATGGCCACAATGACCAGGGCTGGGCCAGGCCAAAGTCAGGAGACAGTACCTTCATCTGGGTCTCCCATGTGCGTGTAGATGCTTTCCCGGACGCATTTGCAGGGAGCTGGATCAGAAGTGAAGCAGCCAGGGCTCGAACCTGTGCCCATGTGGGTTGTCAGCATTGCAGGTAGTGGCTTAACCCACTACAGTACAACACCAGCCCCTCTTTTTTTCTCTTATCGAAGCCAATGTGTTAAAGCTATTTTTTAAAACTGCCCTGTTAGTGTAGGTGGACTGAAGAGTGAAAGACAAATGGTGCCTGTTGTTCCTATGATAGCTTGATTGGAATAGAGGGAAAAAAGGAACCCAGAGAATTATATAGACTTGAGCAGGATGTTAAAAACCACAGAAAATTCTGCATGAACTTCCTAGGATGAGAAAAAGTAAATGATAACATCTCAGACAGTAAACCATCTTTAAAATTTTCAAGTTAATAAGAGATGGACTGTCAATATATATGACCGAAAAGACCAAAACAATTGTTTTTTCCTTAAGAGAACAGAGCAGTTAACCTAACGATAGTACAGAATGCAAACGGCTTCATATACCCAATGACATTAAACAGAGGTAGGAATTTTATCAAATGAAAGGTTACTAGGAATTGATCTGTGAGAATTTATACACGAAACTTGTCAGACTGCTGACCTTTTTCTGCCAGGGTACACTAGATCTTCACAGACTCCTCAGCTTCTCACGGGTATGGGAGAGGTCACAAGATGAAGAATCTGCAGGTTATGGCAAATCATGCCATGCTATTTGCACATCTTCCCCCTTTTGTAAATTATAGAATAGGTAGCTGAATGAAAATAAGTGAACACGTCTCTTTTCCTCACATTGTACATTATCTGTGTGTGGAATCATCAGCCATCGAAAAGTGGTTATTAGACTTTTCCCAAATGACATACTCATCTCCATCATGTAACTATCCATCAGTAACTATCACTGGGCTTTGGGGTTGTGTGGTGAGGAGGAAAAATGCACTCTGGAATGTAAACAAAATGTTCTGAATATACACAGTTTGAAAAAGTTCCTTGGTGAGTGTGTAACTTATTTCTACAGATCAGCTGATCATCAATGATGACAGATATCCAATTGGTGGTTTTCACCACCAACACATTTTAACAAGACTGGTGTCCATTCGGATAGAATTATCTATGGTCTGCCTCTAAGGACATGTAGACCCGTGGAGGGCATCCACTGCAGAACCATCTCTGTTTTCTGGTGTACATCAAAATCTTATTTCCAAGCTGGCGCCGCGGCTCACTAGGCTAATCCTCCGCCTTGCGGCACCAGCACACCGGGTTCTAGTCCTGGTCGGGGCGCCAGATTCTGTCCCGGTTGCCCCTTTTCCAGGCCAGCTCTCTGCTGTGGCCAGGGAGTGCAGTGCAGGAAGGCCCAAGTGCTTGGGCCCTGCACCCCATGGGAGACCAGGATAAGCTCCTGGCTCCTGCCATCGGAACAGCACGGTGCGCTGGCCACAGTGCGCCAGCCGCGGTGGCCGTTGGAGGGTGAACCAACGGCAAAGGAAGACCTTTCTCTCTGTCTCTCTCTCTCACTGCCCACTCTGCCTGTAAAAAAAAAAAAAAAAATCTTATTTCCAGAATGGAACTGAGGAGAGAGAAACAACAGGATTCAAAGGATACACGTAGAGTTGGGGCTTCCGAATACATTGTCTGCATTAAGTTGGAGTCCAATACCATCAGTCAAAATAGATCTACACAATACACTGAATTCTGTTACATTTGACCATGTGGAGGAATATTAACAACAGGATGTAGAGAAAAGAGGCTATGCAATTTTATGTTCATTGAAGTAATAAGAAAAGTTTGCCACTTTTTGCCAGGATTATTTCTGTCATTTTTCCAGGAAAT